CCCGCGGGTCTTTCCCCCGGCGCCCAAACCCGGGGGGGGGGGGGGGGCCTTGGCAAGGAGGGAGAAGAGGCCACGGATAGAGTGGGGGAAAGCCTGTCCTAAGAAAAGGCCAGCCCGTGTAGTTATCTGATGAGACGGTGGGAGTGGGGCGGAACACAGGTATGGAGCAGGCTCGCTGCCCCCGGGAGTCAGAGGCGCAGCCTCTGGTGTGGCTCCTGAAAAAGAGAGGAAGCCGAGGGGCAGGCAGCTCAGGGAGAAGGTCCAGGTGGGCCTCCTGAGTCCTCCTGATGTGGTTATTCTTCCCACCCTACAAAAGGCAAGCTCCCGGCTCTGTCTAAGCCCTTCCAAAGCACCCTGAAACGACTTCTGGTCTTCTGGGGTTTGGACATCCCACACAGGTACCAGGGAAGCGAGATTCCTTATTCACACACCCTCCAAGGGACAGGCTGGGTGAGGTATAAATGAAGCTGTTCTCTAGTTTTATCAACTGCTGATGAAACCCCAGTGCCAGGCGTGAGAGAGATTCTTAGACACCAGTGGATACTGGGGGGTCCTTCTCATCAGCAGGGGGCCAGAGCACAGCTGAGGACGCTGTGACGTGTATGGGCGGATCGTTTCGCCTCCCCACTCCCCAGCCTGGCCTCCCTGGCTGTATCCTCCCACTGCCAGAGCCAGTCCAGCCCACAGAGGTCTTAACCAGAGCAAAGAGCAGATTTTTTTTTTTAAAGTCAAGGTTGGAGTCAGGGTGGATGGGGCAGGAATGAAGCAAAAAGATATCTTGAGGATTTCTAATAGTTTTCTTTAAAATTCCATGTCATTAAGAACAAATGAACTCTACAAAAAGGACTCTAATCAGTGTGGGCAGAGTGGAGGGAAGATCTGAGTAATTCTTGCTCTCCTGCTAAGTTTCCTTTGAACCAATGTGTGTAACATTTGGTCAAGGCCAAAGCCAGTCTGTGGCTAAGGGATAGCTTTTCCCTGGTCTGTAAGGGAGGTCAAACACATGATTCTCCCTTCATTGGCATTATATTTTAGACCAGCATTCTCCAGCATTCTCTGGGATAATAGTTCATAGGGGTATACCACAGAGAGACCTCCCATGGTTAACAACCAATTCAGGGCTTCCCTGGTGGCACAGTGGTTGAGAGTCCGCCTGCCGATGCAGGGGATGCAGGTTTGTGCCCCGGTCTGGGAAGATCCCACATGCCGCGGAGCGGCTGGGCCCGTGAGCCATGGCCGCTGAGCCTGCGCGTCCGGAGCCTGTGCTCCGCAACGGGAGAGGCCACAACAGTGAGAGGCCTGCGTACCGCAAAAAAAAAAACCAACCAATTCAGCAAAGTGAAGTGGGTTTCTTGACTGCAGGACTTCCCAGAGCAGCCTTTAAAATATTAATGTATGTCATAACTCCCCAAGAGGAAGTATGCAGAATGATGCTTCTCAAACTGATTTATTAATGGCTTGAAATGAGGGTTCTGTGGAACACACTTTGGGAAACCATGATTTGGCCCCTTATCTGGATAACTAATGTCTCAATATTCCAGGACTGAGGGGATGGAGCTCGGGTCCATGTGCTTGCCTGCCTGCTCGGGTGAGCTTCTGGTGGTGTTACCTGTTGCACTCCTCCACTAAGGCCTCCCTCTCTTCCTTGCTGGGGTTCTTTTGCCGGTCGTAGGCCTGGTACAAGATTTGCTGGGACGCGGGCCCCCATTTGAACCGGTTGCGACGCATCTTCTTGTTGGTGGGCTCAGAGCAGGCATCATCGGACTGCCCAGGCCCCTGGCTCTGTTGACTGAACTCTGGAAAGAGAAACAGCAGCTGATCCTGACTGCTTTTGTCTGTCAAATTTCCAGAACTCTGGACTGTCTGGTTGAATTCTGAAAAGAGAAAGGAGTAGATTTGATAGGGTCTGTAGCCTTCACTCAGCAGACACACAGACAGATAGACCAACGGAAAAAAACACCTTTATTCCTCTCCCCTGAGCTTTGGGATCTGCTGTTACTGCGGATGGGGGTGCAGGGGGTAGGCTCGGCTCAGGCCCCTCACTGCCCACTTCTGATGGCCCCACCAAGGCCACCCCTTGCCTTTCTTTGGAGGAGCTCAAACGTGGCCGACCATTGTTTGCAGGACAATTTATTATTATTATTATTTCATTGGCTCACTGGCTCTCAGACATGAAGCAACACTCTGAATCCTGAACTCTTGTGTTTTGATGTCAAGGAGATGAACTCCATCAAGTCTCAGGTCTAGGGGAAAAAATGCTCAAATGTACAATCTGCACTTAGACAAAGTGTTTAGAGGCTGAAAATAGCTCCCCCCACTGCTCTCCTCATCATTCCTAGGGATCAACATTATAATGTTATGCTCTTTGAAAAACCCCAAACCCCACATCTTTTGACTAGTGCTTTGAAATAAATATAACTGGACCTTTGCATTGGAAAGACAAGAAGCTCTTTAGAGCTCAGATCATTTCGGAGGCAATGGTGTGTGTGTGTGTGTGTGTGTGTGAGTGTGTGTGTGTCCAGGGGTCTGTTTAGGAGGGAAACAGCCCAAGAGGGAAAGGTCTTACAGACCTGCCCTCACATTTGAAAGATGGGAAATGCAGGAGATAGCAAACACAGGACCTTCCTGGGAGTGGCATTTAATGAGTTGGAGAAAGGTAAATATAGATGGCATGATGCCCCTTGTCAGTCCAATTCCCAGGACCCAGGCACACTGTGACCCTCAATATATTTTGGTTGAATGAATGAATGAAAGACGGCAGTTCGCCTGGTGGTGATTTCCTAGCCTTTATGGTTGCAATGAGATTTGATATTTACTCATGGAAGAGACAGCCTCGTTGTCCTCTTCCTCACATGTGCGTGAAAAAGGGTTCATCAGGGTGATTAATTCCATTCTACAGATGAACAAGCATAGAGGCCAAGGACCCTGCTGA